AAAGAAAATATTTATTATTGAAAATATTTATTATTAAAAATATTTATATTATATTTATATTAAATAAAATATTAAATATTTATAAATATTTTTCTTTTCTGATATAAATAAATAAATAAATAAAAAAACAATTATTATATATATATATATATATATATATATATTAGGTTGTTCGGAAAGTATTTTTGTTTTATTTTTGTAAAAATGAAGGCAATTTTTGTTTCGAGGTTAAACTTACGATTTTCCCAGTTGGTTTAAATAGTTTAATTTAATAAATTTAAACTCTCAACGCAATTTCACGTATTATTATTTGCCAATTTGTATTAACTAATTCCAAAATTGTGTCAAAAACAAAAAAAAAACGAAATTACTTTCCAAACAACCTAATATATATATAAAAATAATTGTTTATTTAATGTATTAACAAATTATTATTATTATTTTATATTTAACATGAGTTATACATGAAACTCAATTTACCATGAATATTTAAATAAAAGATAAAAATAATAGAAAACAACTGATGAAAAATATTTCCAAAAAAGTAATAATAAAATGAAATTGTTTATAGTATAATTAGAAAAAAAAAAAAAAAAGAAGAAAAATTGTTTAATTAATTAATTAATTATTGCTTACTGGATGCTTGAACGAAGAATATTAATTTCAATGGTAATAATTCTTTGTGACGAAAATCTTTGGCTATACGCCGAAAAAAACTCTTGATCAGCATCATCTTGTTTCTTTAGTTTTTTTTTTTTTTTTTTTTTGGTACTTTTGTATCTCGTCAATTAAAAACAGTTATTCGTAAATAAACAATACTAATGACAATTTTTTTTATTAAATATCAAATCTCATTCCATTTAAATCGTCTTATCATTCTCAACACTTGATCCTTCCAAGTTTCGTAATCTGTTTGTATAAACATAAATAAAAAAAATTGATTAATTAATTATTTATATGTTAAGAAATTATTGAAAAATTAAAATTGAAATAATAGAAATAATTATTATTATTTTATGTGTGTGTGTGTGTGTGTGTGAGGTTCAGAAGAAAAGAAAAACCAAACGAACAAACAAACTTTGTTTAAATGTAAAATTAATTAATTATTTATGTGTTAACAAATTATTGAAAAATTAAAATTGAAATAATAGAAATGATTATTATTTTATTGATATGCAAAAGAAAAAAAGAAAAAATATATCTTACTTCAATCTGTGCTGTATTTTTATCACGACACATTTTACTTTCTTTTTCAAAACAAGTTCAACAACATACTTTTATATTAACAATGACTTAAAAAATAAATTTAAATATTATAAACAATTGTTAGATTTATTACGATTTATAATAATTCGTTAACGATTAATATTATTTCTACTGTCGTACGTTTATAAATTATTTCTGAGTATGTACTTGACAGGTCAACGAATCAAATCTAACTGACTAAGAATAAATCGAAATTCTATTGATATAGATACCGTTGTCTTCTGTAAATGAAGGGCATGACAAAACTATCTGTTACGTTTAATTGTACGAAGATAAGAAACAAAGAAAACAACAACAAAAACTAAAAACAAATATTATAAATAATGGAAGTATATGTTTGTACAAATCGTTAGCAAATAAGTGTCAACGTTAAATAACAAGAAATACGAACATTAATGTTGTTCTAAGTAATACATATATATTATACAAGTATATATATATATATATACTTTTCAAATATTTTTTCTTTCGATTATATATTCTAACCTAACCCAAATTTAAATTTATATAAAATATATTAGTATATTGATAATGAAAATATATTATCTAATAATTGTTATATTAGATAGTATTATATTATATAAATAATATATAAATATATTATTACCTACAATTATTATTATATCGAAAATTATTATTAATAGAGTATTATTACCTAATAATTAAAATATATTACCTAACCTACATTTTTAATAATAATAATAATAATATTTTTTTTTAGGTAATATTATATTATAATATATAAATATATTATTACCTAAAATCCTTTACCATCGTATAGTAGTACAGTGTGTCAATAGAAATGTCACGACTTTTACATAACGGTTTTTCACAATTTATGAACCAATCGTGACCATGATACTTCCGTTCAGTTTTAACAATGAACCATACAATTGTTTATCGAATTACTAATTTATTTATTAGTCAATAAAATATTATTTTATAATACAATAATAATACTACTAAAAAACAAATTTATATTTTATTTTGTGCACTCGAAATACAACTAATTGAATTATCAATTTAAAAAAAATCAATTCAAAAAAAAAAATACAAATAATAATATAATATAATTAATAATTGTAATATATTATAAATATTTTAATTATAATATTTAATTTAATTGCATTTAATATAAATTAATTAATTATTATTTAATTTAATATATTAAATATTTATACAGTAACATAATTTTTATATATATATATATATATATATTAATATTTTATATATATATATATATTAATATTTNATAAAAATAATAGAAAACAACTGATGAAAAATATTTCCAAAAAAGTAATAATAAAATGAAATTGTTTATAGTATAATTAGAAAAAAAAAAAAAAAGAAGAAAAATTGTTTAATTAATTAATTAATTATTATTTAATTTAATATATTAAATATTTATACAGTAACATAATTTTTATATATATATATATATATATATTAATATTTGTATTGAAAAAAAAAAATAAAAAAAATACGAATAATTTTAATATAGAAAAAATTTGAACAATAATTTTTCTTTATTTTATCTTTACTTTTTAATTTATTTATTTATGATAATATATGAACTTTTAATGACACAACCAATTGTTAAGATAATTCATTTGCAAGATATCATTAAAGTTGTCACTATTGCAATTTATGAATTACATCGATTATGTATTGGTTTTTCCAAAGGATCTATCAAAACTCACCCTCCACCCCTCACCCTTCTCATTTACCACTACTCTGAGAAATAAAAAGAATTGATACGATCTAATTGTAAAAAAAAAAAAAAATAAGAAAAAAACAATTTTTAATTTCTACCACGTAGTAGTTGGTGATAGATCACGTGTTTAAAAACATGCGATACAACTGCAATACTTTGTTTCACGCTTAATATTCATTTCTTTTCTATTTTTTTTTCACTTTTTTTTTTTTTTTTTAAATAAAAAGTTACAAACACACACACGTGTATATTTAATAAAGAAAAAAAATTACAATAAATATACGTTAAGATAATACCTTTAATAACTCGTATCGTTACGAGTTATTAAATAATTACCAATTATACATTTCACCGGTTACAAACAATGAACAATAATCTTTTTAGTGGGTTATTGATTAATAATGCAAAATTGGAAATAGGAAAAAAGAACAAAAATAAAGAAAAGAATAAATAAAATAATAATAAGAAAAAAAAAATAAAATAAAAGTTAATTCCATGAAACGATGCTAACGTTCATTAACATTAGATAATTTAACGTTATCTAATGGAAAAATTATCCTGTTGACTATGATAAAGTATGTGTGTAAATAAATAGTTGCGTGAAAGCATTTAAAAATTAAATTAAATTAAATCGAAGAAAATATTATACAAAATTCAATAGAATAAAATTCAAATAAAATGAAATATTATAAAAATGAAATATGGCTCAGTGAGGTAAATCCACCATCCAGTAATAATGTCCATCCAGTAAATCGTATGTTCCCGAGTTCAAATCCCGGGGGGGGAAAAAAGAATAAAAACAAAAAAGAAACTAAAAAAAAAAAAAAGGAAGAAAATTACTAAACTTTGTATAAAAAATGAAATAGAATAAAATTAAATAGAAAACAATATAAAATAAAAGAAAAATACAAAATAAAATTATATTATAAAGTAAAATTATAAATTTAATTAAATTGAATAAAATAATATAAATTAAATAAAAAAAAAATATTTAAAAAATGAAATAGAATAAAATTAAATAGAAGACAAATAATATAAAATTTTAAAATAAAACAAAAATAATAATATAAAATAAAATGAAATTAAATAAAAGAAAATATTATAAACTAAATAAAAATAAAAATAAAA